GGGGGAGAGAGAGAGAGAGAGAGAGAGAGAGAGAGAGAGAGAGAGAGAAAGGAGCTGAACACTTGAGACCACCAGACACCAGACGTGGATGACTGCCTGTTTTTTGGGCCTGGCAGTGAGAGCCTGCGCTTTTTTTATACTTCAAAAAGCTCAGTGATTGCACTCCCAGAGCAGACTGGCATTTTGGTGGCTATGGCATGTGGGATCATGGAGTTTTGACTGACCACGGTTTCCTGGGTGGTGGACCAGGGGTCAGAAAAATAGCTGAACTTGCAAGGGTTAGGGGACACAGTAAGAGGACTTCCTGGAAGACAGCATCTGGAAGAGGGATGTGAAGAGCTCAGGTGTGGGAGAAGCTGCTGTGAGGTTGAGTGCTGGGAGTAAAGAGAAAGTCTGTGGCCGGCCCAGGCTGGAGATGGCCAGAGCTGGCCTTTGAGCACCCTGTGATAATTTGAAAGCCTACAGGCGAGTTCCCAGCCCTGGAGGGTCAAGACGGTGTAACGAGCTTCCTCTTCTGGCCCTAGACGCTTTCCTTCTTGTTCCTTGTATTTTTACATTTCTATTGTGTATATGTACACTATAACATGCTCAGGTTCTTGGAAGCCTGAGGAACCTGTCACTCCCCTGAAGCTGGAGTTGTGGGCCACCTGCTATGGGTGCCAGGAACTTTAACAGCAGTTGCAAGGGCAGCGAGCCGTCTCTCCAGGTCTCTCCGGACCCCTTCCTCGCTCTTGCTCTGTGAGGCCACATCTGACGGTCTGTCGCTGACCCCGGCTGCTCAGGTCCATTTCTGTACCATGTTCTCTGCTTCCATTTAGTCTCCACTCGTCGTCCTCCCTGACTCCGATTCACCCTCTGGCAAAGGAAACGCCCACTTCTCCCCACCTTTCCCCAGCGACAGCTACCCTCTAACTGCTGGGTAACCCATTCCCTTGTCCCTGGTGCCTTGGGCTCCAGGACATCAATTTCCAACCAAGTCTCCCTCCTGTCTCCTGCCCGCTGTCACCGTCTCTCCTCAGTCAGTCAGCCTTGGGTGCAGAGTCCCAAGCAAGGTGGGGTTGGATGGCTACAGAATTCTCTGGAAGGTGGAGATTTGGAAGGCTAGAGCAGGATTAGTGTGGGTCCTGGCTGAGATCAACACTCCGCATCACTGTGACCCAGTGTCACCTACTTCAGTCCCTCCCCGGGCCTCCCTGCCCCTGATCTTCCTAGAGGACAGAGTATCTTGTTTCCTTCCATTTCCTTCTCCTCCTCCTCCTCCACCCCCTCCTTCCCAGGAGACAGCATCTCCCAGTGTAGCCCAGGCTGTGCTCAAACTGAACCTTGTAAGGCTTCAGCTTCCAGAGCGCTCAAATTATCTTTGAGCCTTTTATCTCACATAGCCTTTAACTTAAATGTGGTTCTGGTCACACAACTATGTGACTGTCAACCAGTGGACAGAGAGCTGCTCTGTCTTGAGGTGTTTGGAGGTAGAATCCACACCCCAATGATCCGTCCACCCATGGATAGGACCAAACTGATTGTGTTCCACATGCGCAGTTCCGCTACCTCTGTGGTAGTTCATTCTGTTTCACTGTTTGTCTTTTGATTTTGAGACAGGGTCTCTACCTAGCCCCGGCTGGCCTGGACTCACAGAGGTCCACGTGCCTGCTTCTGCTTCCGGGGATGAAAGGTTTCTCCACCTGTGTCCCGCCCATTTGGCTGGAGCGATGGCTCAAGCCCATTTCATCCCTTTCAGGAATGTGAAATGAGCTGGGCATGATAGCCTGCCTCTGCCTGTCACAGTGGAGCGCAAGTCCTGCCTGATCTACATTGTGAGTTCCAGTACAGCCAGTGCTATATAGAGATCCTGTCTCAAAAAATCAAAAACAAAACAAAACCAGCCAACCAACACACCCCATGTGATTGTGGGGAGGCACATTTCTGTTTCTTTTGGATTTTGCAGTTTTCTTTGTTTTGTTTTGTTTTGTTGAGATAGGGTTTCTCTGTGTAGCCCAGGCTGGCCTCAAACTCAGAGATCAACCTACCTCTGCCTGAGCGCTGTGACTCAAAGTGTGTGCCACCACTGCCCAGCCGGGTTCTCATTGTCTCTGGCCTGGACCCCCATGCAGCTGATGCTCTGAACTCCTGACCTTCCTGTACTCACTTCCTTAACGCTGAGGTCACAGGTGTGTGCCCCCACGCTCAGATAGAGGATTTTCTTTTTGAAGACAGGGCCTCAGAAAATAGAGGAGGCTGGCCTCCAAACCTCAGGTCCTCCTGGTGCCAGGACGAAGGAGAGGCGCCACCACTGCCCACTCCAGGCCACTTCCCATGCGCAATGTCAGCACCAGTTTAGCAGGGGGTCTGGAAAGACACCTTGGGGTTCCTGCTGTCCCCAAAAGCTTCAAGGGCTCTTCCCCCAGATCACTCTGGCTGTTTTCACAATGGCAGCTACATAGGTTGTGTTCTTTAATTGTCAGACGGACATCATGGTGTGTGCGCACACCTTAAGTGTGACAAGATGGTAGCACACACAGGTCTCCCAGAACCTAGGGCCACAGAATGGGCATGTGCCTCAGCTGAGTCCCACCCACAGAGTTCTCAGATGGACAAGCAATGTGGTGGATGCTGTGGGCTTATGGTGGCCTCTCCTTTCTGATCATGACTTTGGATCCCAGGCTAAACCAGTCCCATATTCTCTTTCTCCTTGACTCATAATGAGACACATGGGCACAGTGACACCATTCTTGTCAAGGGGACAAGGCAGTTAGCTGCTGGAGTGCTTACAGAGGTGGTTTCCATTGGACTTGACTTTGGTCCTCACAGTGGTGATGCTGGGACCTTTGTGAGGTAGAGTTAAGGGCTGTGGAGAGAGGTTCAGAGAGAAGTTCTCAGCATCTGGTCCAGCTGCCTGTAGCTCCAGCCCCAGGGGATCCGACACCCAGTTCTAGCTTCTGAAGGTACTGCACTCACGTGCACACACCCATGAGCACACACCCACACATATACCCATAACTGAAACAAAAATACAATTTGAACAGATCTCAGGAAGGCCTTAGGACATTGAAGGCTCCCTTCAAGGGGTGAGCAATAGACTCCAGTTAGTTCTTGGGTTGCTATAAGAAGAGCAAGCCCACTCCTCCTCCTTGCTCATGCTTCCCACGTGACTGTTGACAGTGGCGTGCTGTCCCACCATGGAGCTGCCACTGCCATGAGCTACTCACTGGACCTTTATAAATAATCCAGCTTCAGGTACTTCATTATTACTAACAAAAAGTGGACAAGTGTGGGTTGGTCTCACTTCAGAAGGAACCCAAGGTGAGGGGTGGCCGTCTGCATGTGCCAACTCTTCCTGCATCCTGAGACAGCTGCGCTAAAACACAGTAATGGCAGTGCTGGTGGTTAGCGGGCACCATGGTTCCTGCCAATGGGTCTGAGCTGTTTAGTCAATGGATGCTGGAACCGGTGGTGCCCAACATAAAAACATGTTTGCTGAACACATTAGTTCAGTTTGCAGCCCAAGACACGCTTCTTCCAGAGAGAAGGCTCTTCCTTTGAGCATAACTCGTAGCTCCTCCTGCCTAGAGATGGAAGTGGGAGCAAGGACAGGCTTGTGTTAGTGCTTAAGGAGTGGGGACAGGTCTGCTGGGATGCCGACCCACTCAGGTAGGAAGGCGGCCTCTGGCTTAAAAATTTTGAGGAAGGGAGAATCTGGAAGGGTATAGTTGGCTAGGTAGATGGTGTCACCACCTGCCAGGTAGGCAGCCCAAATCCCGAAGGTCCCAATAGTCATGATGGTGTGGTTACACTGGGTGAGGAGTGCGAAGTCCTTGGCTGGCGAACCCTCAATACCATTGCCAGCGAACACCACGTCCCCTCGGGAGGCATCGATGTTCTGCTTGCACCAGGCCATGCCATTGCTGGTGACTACAAAGATGGGAGACCGATAGCGTGCCCGGAACCTGTCCAGGGCCTGTTCCAAGTAACCCCGGTCAGCCACCACGCCCTTCCAAACGTTGGGCATGACATGCACATAGTCCCCCCGGCGCACATGGACACCCACAAACGTACTCGGCTGGCTCCCATTCACCCGCAGGCCACGCAGGAAGGCCTGGGCCTCCTCACGCACATGGTCGTGCAGGGTGAACTCCTGCAGGATCTCTGAGCGCAGGTGGTGGTAGAAGGTCCAGGAGCACGGGTACCCTGTGAGGCGCACATAGCGTCCCGGGATGTGGCGGTACCGCTCCTCCATCCAGTCGTTGAGGTGGTAGTTGTGCCATGGGATCTTCTTGTCGGTGTCGCTGTGCAGCACTGGGAGGCTGATCCTGAAGATGGGCGCCAGGGTGCTGTGCATGGATGAGGGGATGAATGCGGGCTTTCCGTTCATCCTGGCCAGTGCGAACAGAGTGGCGTACTCACCCATCTGGTTCCCCAGGCGGCCTATGGAATTGATGGTGAACATGCCCTGCGGCTGGCTGCTCCCTGGCATTGTTGTGGCTGCTGGCTCTCCTGCAGGCTTCTCTGGCGGGGACTGAATCTTCACAATTCTGTGCTGGAGGTGGACGATGGTGGAAGTCACGAAGACAAAGATGAGGAAGTGGGCCAGAGGAAAGTAGAAAGGAACCTGGGAGCTGACCATGGCTGCCAGGAAGGAAAGCAGGCAGGTTAGCTCGGGAGCAGCTGGAGGATGTGCTTGTGGCACTGTGTGCATAAATACTTGGCATTCATTCAGTTTACCTCCTTGATTGTGCCTCAGCGTGCATCCTGGTTTTCTTTTTGGTTTGTTAGAGACACGATTTCGTGCTATAGCTCAGGCTAGCCAAGAACTGTGTGTGTGGCCCTGCTCCACCGCTGGGGTACAGAGTGAGCCAGTATAAAGTCCTCTTTGGAGGGAGAGTGTGTGTCAAGTGTTCAAAGTAATAAAAAATTAAACAAATAGAAAGCCAGGTATGATGGGTGCAATATAGCTCCAGACTGGAGCATGTGCCTAGAATCCACGTCAGAGACTGAGGGTGTAGCTTAACAGGAGAGAGAATGCTTGTGAATTAGGGCCTTGTGGGACAAACCAAAGGCTGCAGATACTGAATCTGTGCAAATGTGAAACAGAAAAGGGGCCATGGCATTGCCGCAAGATGGGTAAGTTGGTAAAGGTGACCCCTGCCAGCCTCCCAACCTGAATTGGGTCCCTAGGACCCATGTGGTAGGAGGAGGAAACAAACGGAATACAAGCTGTTCTCTGACCTCCACATACCCACACCTCCCTCACAATTACAAATAAAGAAATGTAATAAAAAAATAAACAAATAGAAAGCCAGGTATGATGGGTGCACACATTTAATTTCAGAACCGGAGAGGCAGAGGCCAGCTTGGTCCACAGAGTGAGTTCCCAGACAGCCAGGGCTATAGAGAAACAAACAAAACAAGAACAAAAGAAACAGGGGCGTCCCTAGATGACTCTGAGCTTAAATGCACTTGCTGTTCTTGCAGAGGACTGGAGTTCAATTCCAAGCACCCATATTAGGGAGCTCATAGCACCCTGTAATTCCAACTCAAGGAGATCAGATGGCACACGCACGCACATACACACACACATGTGCGCACACACATATAAATCCAAAACAGCAAAATGTGTCCACTGACACACCTTCAATCTCAGCACTTCAGAGGCAGGAAACCCTTTAATACAGTTCCTCACCTTGTGGTGACCGCCCCCCAACTATAAAATTATTTTCGTTGCTACTTTATAACTAATTTTGCTACTGTTATGTACCATAACAATGTAAATATTTGTGTTTGTTGGCTGGTCTTAGGCAACCCCTGTGGAAGGGCTGTTTGACTCCCACAGGGGTTGCGACCCACAGGTGGAGAACCGTTGAGGATGGCGGCCTCTGTCATCTGCAGCCAGGGTGTGACCGACACTGACACTCGTGTCCAGCCACTGAGACCCAGGCCTGAGTGACAGGGATGAACATTTTGGAGGCGCAAGGGCTTCAAGGCTCCCCAAGTGCTTCAGAAATCTTACCACCGCATCTCAGAGGACACGCGGTTTGCAACACAGAGTGCGCCTGCCATCAGCCTCCAAAGGAGACTTTGTACAACTCCAGGGAAGAAACACAGATTTCCGGCTGTCTTGGCCCAAAGCCTCCAATCCTGACCGCAGGCTTTGGCCCAGTGACTCAGTCAAGAGGATGTTGGCATCGACTCAAGGGGCTTGTAAAGCGGCCGAGCTTTCCATTCGCGCAGGTGTGCAGTTACAAAGACACCTCCGACCTGCTGGCGCAGGACTGCAGCCGAAACACTCCTGGTTGTAATTCTCCAGAAGAAACTCAGGCAAGGAGATGATGTTTGTCCATCACCTCCGTGCTCAGGAGGCAGAGGCAGCAGGGTTGCTGGGAGCTTCGGTTTGCTTTTGGGCGGGGGAGGCATTGAGATAGCATTCCCTATGTAGCCCTGGCTATCCTGGAATTCACTCTTTGGACTAGGTTGGCCTTGTACTCGCAGAGATCTGCCTGCCTCTGCCTCCTAAGTTCTTTTTCCTTCTGTGGTACTAGAAATGGAACTCAGGGTGGCCAGCCCACATGTCTAGCAATCGCTCTACCACAGAGCCACATGCCCAGTGCCTCACTGGGGGACTCTAGGCCAGGCCTCTATCCCCGAGTTACACCCCCCGCCTTACTGGGGGACTCTAGGCCGGGGCTCTACCCCCGAGTTACACCCCCTGCCTTACTGGGGGACTCTAGGCCGGGGCTCTACCCCTGAGTTACACCCCCAGTCTTGCTGTTTTAACTTGGAGACCATCTCACTAAGTTGCCCGGGCCGGCACTGAATTCATTCTATGGCCCAGACTAACTAAGGCTCCTCAGCCCTGAGTGCCGAGGTTACAGGCCAGGGACACCACAGTACTGAACCAATTCTTCTGGTCCTTTTTACTTTTGCTTGTTGCCAGGTCCAAAGGAAACTCCACGCCCCCAAATTCCGGTGCCCCTTTCCCCTCTGCTCACGGAGCCTTTCTCATCGCTGTCAAAAGGGACAAATGACATCTGTGGTTCCAGGTTCACTCAGCACCTGCGGCTCCTGTCAGCTCTCCTCAGCCAGCCTCGTAACCTAGACTCCAGCTCGTGTTTTCCTTCCCCACCTTCTCATTCCCCTCTAACTCTGCCATTTCAGCCGTAGCTTTCTCGGTCCTTGTGAACAAGAAGGTAGTGTGCACAGCTGGTCTCACAAACGCTACCCTTTATGCTGACGCCCTTCACACAAAACCCCCGCTCTGAATTCCTAGCTACAGTCCTAAGCCTCTCTTCCTAAGACTGCTCACCACTGTGCTGTATCTTAGCCGAAAGGTTAGGTCTAGCCTCTCACGGTTCTAGGGCCAGGATCCTGGAGGGAGACTGTGCAGCCGCAGGGAGGATCTCTCCAGGCCTCCAGCAGTCCTGAAGATGTGCAAAGCAATGACTCCTGGTTCTTGACTCACATACTGTCCAGCGGGCATCACGGAGTTTTCTACTTAGCTGCTGTGCCCGGGTTACCTGGAGTAAGAGGCACCACTGGTGGCAGGTCTGTAGCCTGGGAGGAACAGCCAGCTGGGTGGGAGCCCGATCACATATCACAGCAGATGCTGGCCACCACAGAGTCATTCTGATGGGCACACACTGCCCCCACCACCACCACTCCAGCCCCTGAGCTGCATTCTCTTCCCAGCTTCTCACTTCACTTCTGGACCTCTCTTCATCCGTTTGCCCTCTCCTCTACCCCTCTCTTTTTTCTTCCTCTCTCACTCTTTCCTGCCCACTCCCCTCATGGACCCGTTCAGTTTGGCCGCTTCCAGATGCCTCTGGCTGTTCTCTCTTTCATGTGTACAATAAAAACCTTCCCCTTCACCACACCTTGGAGCAGCCGCACCCGTAGTTTGAACTCTCTTGAGACAGTCTCACAAAGCTGCCCAGGCTGAATTCATGCCATTACCCAGCCTGGCCCTGAATTTCTGCCCTTTCTTTTCGGCCTCTGTCACATCTGGGATGTCAGGCCTGGCACCAACCGTATGGGGGGAAAGTAATGGGAAAACACACTTCAAAACCAAGCTATTATCTCCAGTTTCCACCGGAGGATTCTGCATCTCCTACTGCAAACAGGAACACAACCTGACTGGCTCGTCAGAAAAAGGAGAGGAAGATGTTTTGGAATACGTGTTCGCTGTGTCTGTGCTGGTTCCCATTCCTAAGGAAGGGAAGCAAGGGTGTGGAGGCTGCAGGGGACAAGGGCAGCAGAGAGCCTGCTGTAAAGTCTCTATCTAGCTTTGCGAAATAGATGTGGGTGGTGGTCAGAGCTACGTGGCCTTCACCTGTCTGTTTCAGACAGCATTTGGTTGGCTGAGGGATTACCGGCTGGTAGACCCCCAGAGCTCAGGGATCACAAACCATGGAGCTGAGACTCACAGCACCCGTGGGCCGTAAGGTAAGAGAGGAGCGTGGATGAGTGTGAGAAGACCAAGGCCGCGAGGGGACCTGGGAGCATGCTGGGGCCACAGGAGACTAAAGAGCTGCTGTGGCTCCAGCCTGAGTGGAGCGGCTGTGGCATTGGAGACTTCCCCTCTGTTCTCCGTGGTCGGGAAGTTTATCACTTGCTCAGCCGCAGTTTCTGCAACTGTTTCAACACCTCTGGGTGCCACTGGGTTTAACGAAAAAAAGTTGAGTTCAGGTTTTCCCTTCCTCCATCTGGGTCTCCTGAGGACCTTCCATTAGAGGGGTGCAGTATGGCAGAGAGGTTTCAATCCTTCTCCAGTTCCCTGGAAACCTTCCTTTTCTCTCTCCCTCACGCCTTTCCTCATCAAGGCTTTTCAGTGTCGTCCAAGCTGACACCTGACTTACAGCAATCCCCCGCCTCAGTTTCTTGAGTACTAGTATGACAAACACAAGCTGTTCCACTTTCCTCTCCTCTCCCCTTTGGCTCAACCTTTTCCATCCAGAAAGTGCCCTGCCTGCAACACCTTCCACATCACCCCACAGGCAGGACCTCATGCCTGGCCCCACCCCATTAGTGCCATTCCTGTGGCTGGCCCTGCCCTCTGCCTGCTCGGTCCCTTGCATGGAACAAGGGCATTGTGATTCTCAGGGGAGCTTACGAGAGAGCTGCCGCACTGAAATCTCAAGCAGGCACAGAGTGTTGTGATGGACTGAGCTGGGACCTACTGTCCCCCCGTGGCAGGGGGCACCCACAGGTTTCTGAGGGTCCCTGGGCTGATGTGGAAGCCATGGGTATGGGAACAGGAAAATCCAGTTGTTCTGAGCCCAGCTCTGCCCTGCCTCTACATTTGTTACTGGAGTCAGCGGCAGGGAGGGACCTGAGCAGGTGAAGAGAGAAACCAACCAACATGGGAGTACGGGAAGTCAGGGAATGGGGTACTGGTGGAGCAGGGTCTGGGGAACCAGAGTCGGGAGAACAAGGTCTGGGGAACAGGAACTGGGGGAACAGGGGCTGGAAGAACAGGAGCTGGGGAACCAGGAGCTGGGGGAATAGGGGTTGGGGAAACAGAAGCCAGGGACCAGAAACTGGGGGTACAGAAACTGGGGGTACAGGAGCTGGGGGTACAGGAGCTGGGGAACCAGGAGTTTGGGAATCAGGAGCTGGGAGAACAGGGGCCAGTGGACCAGGAATGGGGGCTACAGAAGCTGGGGGAAGAGCTGGGTAACCAGGATCTGGGAGAACAGGAGCTAGGGAACCAGGAACTGGGGAACAGGATCTGGGGGAACAGGAGCTAGGGAACCAGGAACAGGGGAACAGGAGCCGGTGGACCAGGAACTGGGGGTACAGGAACCGGGGGAAAAGGAACTGGGGGTACAGATGCTGGTAGAACAGAAGCTGGGGAACAAGGGCTGGGGGAACAGGGCCTTGGGAACAGGAACTGCGGGACCAGGGGCCGGGGGATCTAGGGATTGGAAAAACCAAGGTCTAGGAACTCAGGATCTGAGGGCTCGGGCTGAAGGAACTAGCTGGAACTCAGGCTGGGAACCCAGGGTCTGGAGGAGCCAGGTTCTGGATCCTGTTTGCCAGTAATGGCCTCTCCTCCCAGAGAGCCCTAGGGTGGGTCGGAGACCAATCGGTCCATTTTCTGGATCCCTGGGGTTTGTTGAGGGAACGGGAGACCTGTCTCCAACCCCCTGGCCTGTGCTCACCTTTTCTGGCTGTGGTTACAGAGAAGACCTCCGAATGGATGACAAGGTGGCTCTGCAGGCAGGTAGCTCAGTGTTCCTTCCAGCCTGCCCCTTCTTTCAGGGCCAGAGTTTTCTGAGCCTTCCTATAGGCCTAGATAGAAACCCCGCCTAGGGTGGACCAGCTGACATCCTAGAACCAGTGTGACTAAGCTTCCAGAGGAGAAGTTGGCTTAGTCTCAGGTGACCGCAGGATGCCAGCAGGAGGGGCAGTCAGAAAGAGTTGGGAGAGTTTAGCATACCTGCCTTCCCCTGCAGCACTGCAGACCCCCAAGTCAACAGTGGAATGGCCCGCATCCGGCTTTCTATGTGGGGTCTTCTGGCTTGAGCCGTGAGCGCTTGGACCTGCGGTCCTCTCACTGGCCACCCTCCTCATTTGTCTGCATGTGTGCAGGATTGAACTCTAGTCCTCAATGCTGTCCTAGAGAGAGCACTTTACCAAATGACCTATCTTGAGAGCCAACAGCACACAAGGTTTTGGGGTTTTCCCTATTTTCGGTGCGTGCAGAATTGAACCGGGGCCTCGTGCACCACACTTTTAGCCCTTATGGCTGACATGCTTTGTTTGGTTTTGAGACAGGGTCTCACTATGTAGCCCTGGATTGCCTGGAACTTGTTGTGTTGCCCTGGCTGGCCTTGAACTCAGAGATCTACCTGTCTCTGCTTCCTGAGTGCTAAGATTAAAGGCATGTGCCATCAACCTTGGCCCTAATAGTAGGCCCTCTGAATAGCTCTATGTGCACAGGAAAAACCAAGTACACAGAGAGAAGTTAACTTGCCCAGAGTCACACAGCCACTCGAAGCCAGGCAAGCTGGGGCTTGGAGAACGACACGATACAAACAGCAACTCATCTCAGCTCCGCTTTGTTTCAGTTACTGTTTATTTGTTTGGAGACAGAATTACTCAGCCTGCTTTCTTACATCATCCAAGATCAACTGGCAAGAAGCCCCCCAGGGGTCTGGGCCATTGTATTAGCCGGGGTTCTCTTAGAGTCACAGAACTTATGGAATGAATCAATCAATCTCTCTCTCTCTCTCTCTCTCTCTCTCTCTCTCTCTCTCTCTCTCCACACACACACACACACACACACATACACACACACACACACACACACACACACACACACACACACACACACTAGAATGGGTTACAGGCTACAGTCCAACTAGGCTAGTTGTGAATCTAGTAGCTGCTCAGTCCCAGGAGGCTGAGTGTTGACTTCTTGCCTCTTCCAGATCGTAAGTATGCCCTCCATTCCAGACATAGTCGAGTTGACAACCAAGAATAGCCAGCACGGCCATTCTACATCAATCTCTAATAAGCAAATGCACTACAAGCTGCCCACGGGCTAATCTGGCGGGACATTTTCTCAACTGAGCTTCCATCTTCCCAAATGACTCTGAACTTACGCCAGGTTGACAATGACACTAAGCAGCACAGTCAGCAACTGAAAAAGACACTAAATGTTAACTTGTGTATCCACATGTGCCTGTGCACACATAGGAACATGCACACGAGTATTCATACACACTAAAGAATAAACACAGCTGGGCGGTGGTGGTGCATGCTTTTAATCCCAGCAGTCGGGAGGCAGAGGCAGGTGGATCTCTGTGAGTTCGAGGCCAGCCTGGTCTACAGAGGGAGTTCCAGGACAGGCTCCAAAGCTACACAGAAACCATGTCTTGAAAAATAAAAATAAATAAACAAACAAACAAACATAATAATAAAATAAAAAGTCAAGCGAAGGGCAGCAGCCTGGCTCAGGTGGCAGAACATGTGCCTAGGACCTGCCAGTAAGGACGTGGGCATGGCGCGGCCTAGGATCCACTAGTAAGGACGTGGGCATGGCGCGGCCTAGGATCCACTAGTAAGGACGTGGGCATGGCGCGGCCTAGGATCCGCCAGTAAGGACGTGGGCATGGCGTGGCACTGAAGTGCCTGTCTAGGATGCCAGATTGGGCTCAATCCACCATGTCGAAAACAAACAAAACTCGGGCATAAAAGGTCCCCATCAAAGCTATCTTTCTTCTCCCACTTCTCGGTTTGGGCCAACAGAAGAATGGAGTTGCTGTGAGTGGACACCAGGACATCTGCCAAATCCAGAATGTGGGGCAGTTGAAACACAAAAGGCCATTTTTCCTAGCCATTCATGCCATGGAGAGAGAGAGAGAGAAAAAAAAAAAAGCCAGGTGTTTTGCAAGTGTGCAAAGCTGACTCTGTGCTCCGCGATCCATAGGTGTGTTATCTCTCTGTGTCATCTCCCCCTCCCCACACATACCTACTGTTCAAAAGCCACACAGAAAGCCAGGCTCTAGGGCTTCTGTCTGCAAATCCCAGCCAGGAGGCTGAGGCAGGAGTGCTGTGAGTTTGAGGCCTGCCTGAAAAAAAAGGAGGAAGAGGAGGAGGAGAGGGAGGAGAAGGAGGAGGGAGAGAAGAAGGAGGAGGGGGAGGAGAAGGAGGAGGGGGAGAAGAAGGAGGAGGGGGAGGAGGAGGAGGGGGGGGAGGAGGGGGAGGGGGAGGAGGAGGGGGAGGAGAAGGAGGAGGGGGAGAAGGAGAAAGAGGAGGAGGAGGAGGAGGAGGAGGAGGAAGAGTATGGGAAGTCAGATACAGGGTACTGGTAGAACAGGGTCTAGGGGAACAGGAGCTGGGGGAACAGGGGCTGGGGGAACAGGGGCTGGGGAGCCAGGGGCTGGGGGAACCAGGGGCTGGGGGAACCAGGGGCTGGGGGAACAGGGGCTGGGGAACCAGGGGCTGGGGGAACAGGAGCTGGGAACTAGGGGTTGGAGGAATAGGAGAAAGAGAAGGAAGAGGAGAAGGAGAAAGAAAACAAAGCACCGAGCTGCAAATCCAGGAGTCGGAAGACTTCCCTGTGTGGTGTGGGCATTGCGCTCCGTCCTCCAGTATGCTTTGCTGGTGTTATGAAGACAAATGCAGTCTCACTCCTTTGTGTGTGTGGGAAGGAGGGGAGCATGTGCATCTGGTGGTGTTTAGTGGAGGTCAGAGGTCATGTGGGACTCGGGGATTAAGTTCAGGTTGTCAGTACCTTTTTCCACTGAGCTACCTCACTGGCTCAAGGGTCTCACTTTTTAGTCCTTGAACTCTTGGCAATCCTCCTGCTTCTGTTGACCAATTTTAGATTGCGGCCATGTTCCACCAGGCCTGGTTTCCTGGGTCGTTTTCTAAGAGTGCAATTTGCTCGGAGTGGTGCTCACACTCTGGTCCAGCCAGCCCTCCATAACTACCTTGTCTTGTAAAACCTGCGTGCCCATGAAGCAACTCCTCCCCCATCTCTTCTCAGCCCCCTTTTATCTCTATGAATCTCTACTGGATATCACTTCATTTGTGCCTCTGCCCGGGTCGTTTCCACGTTCAGGGCGCAGTCGCAGCTCCAGAAGCACGAAGCTCACAAGGGAGCAGTGGGACACACAGCAGGAGGCAGAGCCTGGCTGGGCTCTGCAGAGCGCTGCACTAACAGTGTAACTCAGGAACACGTGGATCACAGGGTCGGACCCCACAACCTTTGCTCTTTCGACAGGATGAAGGCACGGAGAGGTCTGCCCACCCGTGAGCCTAGTCTGATTGAGCTCAACACCTGGAATGAGCCAGCAGGTAGGGCTCCACCTGAATGAGGTTTATCTCAGATGCAGTAACATAGCAATTTCTTCTCTCTCTCTCTCTCTCTCTCTCTCTCTCTCTCTCTCTCTCTCTCTCTCTTTCTGTCTGTCTTTTTAGTTTTTTGAGATAGGGTTTCTTGTTATAGCCCTGGCTGTCCTGGAAATCGCTCTGTAGACTGGCCTTTAATTCACAATGATCCCCCTGCCTCTGTCGCCTTGGTGCTAGGATTAAAGATGTGCACCACCACCACCACCTGGCAACAATTTCAGAAAGCTCAAATCCTCCTCTCCATGGGCACAGAAGTTGAGGTCACATAAGCAAAAGTTCTTGGGTCTTCTTGGCAGAACCTGCCAAGCTTTGACCACTTCTGGCACAGCGAGGGTCACACCCTGCCTGACTCACACCAATATTCCTTCATATCATTTGATATCACTGAAGACAGGGCTCAGCCAAGGCCAACAGGAAGTTAACTTTTAGTGTGTGTGGTGTGTGTTGCTGAGGGTGGAAGTCAAGGCCTCTGAGAGCTAAGCCCATGGCAGACTCTCCACGTAGCCATCAGCCAGGGCACAAGAGGCTCTCGCTTGGCGTGCACATCATTCACTGGTGAACAGTCGAGTGTGTGATGGGATGGGGTAAGGTGATCTGGGCACTCAGGTCTGCAGAACAGGAAGCAGAACTGCTTCCTTTCAGAAGTTGGTCTCTGCCTCTGGAGTCAGTGGTTCTGATGGCCAAGGTTCACCTGCTCTTCACCAGTCCCAGCTGCAGGGACAGTTTTCTAGGAAAACTGTCTCATCACAGGAGTTGGAGGAGTGGACACTGGGCTGGGCCCTCTTTAGCTCAGGCAGAGCAGGTTCACTTGGCTTTCTTCCTCTCCCCAGTTGAGAAACTAGGGTGTCTTCAACCCACTTAAGAGCCACGTAAATATTTGCTAGATGAATGTGGCCCTTATTGCTGTTGGCAGACTACCAGCCCCTGCTTGGGCTTTGTAGAGTAAAAGCTGTTTGTATCTCTGTTCGAGCAAGGCCAAGCAAACACGGAGCTGGGCAGGGCGCCCTTCACATGGCTCCCATGGCCACCTACTTGTTTCCTAAAGACCTCCACATCTGTCCCTCATCAGGCCTGATGCGAAAGACCAGGGCAAGGAAGTGACCAGGTCGCCAGCCAGGGGCTGTGGAGGCTTTGTGCTGCAGGCAAGTGTGCTGAGAATGTCCTGTGTCCACACCTTTGTGCTGGCAAGGAAGTGAGGGCAAGGTCAACCAGGAGCGCCATTTGTTGCCCCTTCCCTCTCTTTTCCCTCCCTCTTCTTCCTTCCCCCTCTGGCCCCTTACCTCCCCGCCCCCTTTTCTTTTTTGATATAGTCTCTCTGTGAGGAACATGAGGTTATTTTCCCAGGACAGCTAGCTCATGGGAAAAGTAGCATGGCTGAGGCTAAGAGCAGCCTCACTGTCCCTGTCAAGATAAATGCTAAAAGTTCACTCTCTCCAGTTCTCAACTGCACTCCATCCTCTCAAGACAACAGGAAGCCATAGGCTGTGGATACAGAGAACACTAGGGAGGTGGTCTCAGGGGAAGAGCTTAAACATGAGGGTACAGGTCAGTGGGAAACACAGCTGCGCTTCCCCAAGGGCCCCCTGCAGCCTGCTGGAGGCTCTTACAGAAGTCTCTGGGAGCAAGGAGCTGGCAGGGCAGCTCTGAGAAGAGGAGGATAAGCAATCTGATTAGGGGAAGGCTGGGGTGTGTGTGTGCTGGGGTGTGTGTGCTGGGGTGTGTGTGTGCTGGGGTGTGTGTGTGCTGGGGTGTGTGTGTGCTGGGGTGTATGTGTGTGCTGGGGTGTGTGTGTGTGCTGGGGTGTGTGTGTGTGCTGGGGTGTGTGTGTGCTGGGGTGTGTGTGTGTGCTGGGGTGTGTGTGTGTGCTGGGGTGTGGTGTGTGCTGGGGTGTGTATGCTGGGGTATGTGTGCTGGGGTGTGGTGTGTCTTTCTGACCCAGCTCAACTGGAGTCTCTACAAGGACATGTGGAAACTGGGTGTGTTAGCTCTTGACTGCAATCCTGGCACTCAGAAGGCTGAGGCAGGAGGATTACCTTGAGTTCAAGATCAGCCTTTGCCACAGAGTAAGACTCTTGCAGTTGGGTGTGGTGCTGCCTTTTATCCCAGCACTCGGGAGGCTGAGGCAGGTGTGTCTCTGTGAGTTCAAAGCCAGTTTGAAGTCTACTGAGTGAGTTCCAGAACAGCCAAGGCTACAGAGAGAAACTGTCAAACAAAACAAAACAACAAAAAACAACGTGTGTGTGTGCGCGCGCGAGCAAAGGAGAATTAAAAATTCTGGTACCTCCATGTTTTCAGGTGTGCCGAGGCCCCTGGAGATGACTGTAGAGAAGCCACAGGTTAGGCTGAGAAGACAGAACTCAGTGAGGTGGTGGCGTTACAAAAGTCTGGGGCTCTGTTTTGCCCCAGCCCTAGTGTCCCAGCATGAGGCAGATACTAGTGCCACATCCAGAGACTTGGTGACAGCAACAGAGAGCAGACCGAGACCAGGTAGCCCCAACAGGCCTCAGTGAGCAGCCTCAAGCCCAGGCTCCAGCAGGACAGGTCTGTGGCTGGCCAGGGTCAGGCTTCCTGGAGAGCTGTGCCTTGGAGCGCCTGCTGCTCCTCCTGGGCCCCGCTGCTCAGGGTGCACCTTCATGATTCTTCCCGCCACCAGAAGGGTTGTCTGTCGGCTTAGTGACTGCACACGAATCTACTGCTGTTTTAATTATCATCTGTGGCACCACAGCCCTGCAGTCAGTGCCCTGCAGGCCACTCAGCCTGGAGAGATACACAGGTTTGAACTAGGTCTCTATCGTTCTATTTACCAACAAAGACCAGAAGTCAGATGTAGGGGTGAAAACCTGCTGGATCAGAGAGGCTGAGAAGCAAGCAGCTGACCTTCCTTTTTGGCCTCTTTTCCCAGCAAGAGACATGTCTCTCCATTCATTCCAAACCAAAAAAGCAAGCGAGAAACTCCAGTCCCGCCCTCCTCCCTGTTCATCTCTCCACATTCTGCCTCCTCTGGACTCTGGACTCTCCGTGGCCAGCTCCAGCCTACGAGCTGACTCCACCCCTGAACCAAGGTTGATTTTATTTAGTTAACGCAAACACAAACACAGCCTGGAGTTCAGTGTGACTTAATATCCGCACAGCTGCCCACCACCCGGCACCTGCATCAGGCCTGCCCCTCCAACTTCCCTTTCCTGATAAGGTCGTGCCCCAAAGCTCAAGCTCCCAGCGGCTGGAAACACCATGCCCCATAACTCCTGGGCAGGAGCCACACCACCACCAAACACCCCCCAGGACCCTACATGCTGGTGGGTGACCAGAAAGGACAGCGCAAAGCTGGCTCTGCCGGCTAGCTTTATGTCAGCTTGACAGGAGCTGAGGCTCTCTGAAGAGCGAGGATCAGCAGGAAAGCCGCTCCCACCAGATCTGCCAGGGCAGGCAGGTGGTCCTGGGTCAGCCAAGGCAGCAGGCTCAGCCTTGAGGAGCAAGCAGGTAGTGGCACTCCTCCATGGCCTCTGTATCAGCTCCTGCCCCAGGGTCCTGCTGGTTGAGTTCTTGCTAACTGCCCTCAGAGATGGACTGTAAAATGTAGGTATGAGTTTAAATAGGCACCTTCCTCTGCAGGCTGTTTACCGCCCTGGTGTCTCATCACAGCCACAGAAAGCCTAGCTAAGACACTGCCCTCCCGGTGAAAGCATTCCAGACTTGCAGATGCAGCATGCTAGGCCTGCAGTGGACACAGAGGAACTCGGGTCACCTGTGCATGTCGCTGCTGAGGTAACTCGAGACCGCGCTCACATGCTCAGAGTGCACAGGAGGGCAGCGAGGTGACACTGACCCAAATCTCTCAGCTGTGAAACACAGAAGGCTGGGCTGGAACTGCAAATGAGAACCCGAGTAGGTACAAAACAGCCTCCAATGCCTCTTGGGGGGCCCAGGTTGAGGCACCACTAAAGGTTCCTCTGCTGGGCCTGTGGCAGGTCAGCAGCGATGCCTACCCAGCTGGGGAGGTAGGCTGCTTGTGGCTTGAAAACCATGTGGAAGGGGGAATTGGGCTGAGTAAAGTTAGCCAGGTAAACAGTATCCCCACCTGTGAGGTAGGCGGCCCAGATCCCAAAGGTGCCCACGGTGATGACAGTGTGGTTGCATTGCATGAGCAGTGCAATGTCCCTGGCGGGGGACCCCTGAAGGCCATTGCCAGCAAACGACACGTCCCCTCGGGAGACACTGATGCTCTTCCGGCACCAGGCCATGTCATCACTGGTGACTACAAAGATGGGAGACCGATAGCGTGCCCGGAACCTGTCCAGGGCCTGTTCCAAGTAACCCCGGTCAGCCACCACGCCCTTCCAAACGTTGGGCATGACATGCACATAGTCCCCCCGGCGCACATGGACACCCACAAACGTACTCGGCTGGCTCCCATTCACCCGCAGGCCACGCAGGAAGGCCTGGGCCTCCTCACGCACATGGTCGTGCAGGGTGAACTCCTGCAGGATCTCTGAGCGCAGGTGGTGGTAGAAGGTCCAGGAGCACGGGTACCCTGTGAGGCGCACATAGCGTCCCGGGATGTGGCGGTACCGCTCCTCCATCCAGTCGTTGAGGTGGTAGTTGTGCCATGGGATCTTCTTGTCGGTGTCGCTGTGCAGCACCGGGAGGCTGATCCTGAAGATGGGCGCCAGGGTGCTGTGCATGGATGAGGGGATGAATGCGGGCTTTCCGTTCATCCTGGCCAGTGCGAACAGGGTGGCGTACTCACCCATCTGGTTCCCCAGGCGGCCTTTGGCATTGATGGTGAACACGCCCTCCTGGGGCAGGTTTCTTGGGGCTAAGACCACAAGGGCTGAAGAGGCCCAGGGGTCAGGCACCAGAGCCAGGCGCCTATGGCAGTAGAAGATGGTGGACAACACAAAGATCACAAAAAGGAAGTAGAAGGTGGAGAGGGGTGGACAAGTGGCCTTGAGTCCTGGGAAAGTAAGAGAAGACAGGAGTCAGGGTCTGAGCACAGCCCCTCCAGGAGTGCTCCTGTCTGCTTCTGAGGCCAGCCCCACCCTTAATTAGCAGTGTGATGGGGTGGATGGGGCTCACTGTACCTCTCTGAATCTTTTTGTCTCCTGACTAGGCTTGACTACTGAAGGTAGCTGGTTAAAACCATCTCTTACCTGATCACAGCCATTTCTGTGGTCCTAACAGCTACCTCAGGGGGTGTATGAAAATTAAATGTGATACAGTAGCTTTTCCTTATTCAGAGTTTGACCTTCTAGAGTTTTAATTACTTAACAGGATCAAGTGTGTTTTGAAAATATTAAATGGAACATTCCAGAAATAAATAATCTGCTTTAGGTTTTAAACTGAGGGTGATGGGCTCTTTTGACACCCCCACCTCATGAGTCATCCTTGGTCCAGCATATCAAGCTGGAAGTTTTGCATGCTTTTGTTACTTAGCTGTTACCCAGCCATTGTTAGAAACACAGTGCTCGGGCCAGTAGGTGACTCAGCCTGTAGACCCTTCCAGGCAGGCCTGATGTCCTGAGGGCGGTGGCTGCACGCCATTAGGTGGCAGGAGAGAATCCATGCCTGAGAGCAGACTCCTCTGAAGAGAGCTGCAGTGCTACCCTCAGGTAATCCTTACTCAGGTCCTAAGGGCTCTAGAGGGCGGGCCAGGACAGTGATCATGGAGGGGTGACACGCCAGAGAGGCATTATTAGACGTACCACAGGGTATGCTGAGCTCGGGGAGCTCACATCCATCCCCGCAGCTTTTACCCCAGTACTGGCTCAGCTACTCTGCTTGAGTTGTTTTTACTGAGCCTGATTTATGAGCTCTGTGGGAATTTGTGGAAATGGAAAACCGTCTATAGGGCTGTGCACTGTCATGGTTTCAGGTGGCCCCTGTGGTCCTGGACTACATCAACACCACTGATGGCTGTCACATCTTCCCATCATGCCCAGTCCACAAGGAATGGGTACTTCCACTACATGCCAGCTGCTGGCAGGTCAGGAGAGCACGGAGGAGGGACGAGAGCTCTGCCCTAGGACAGCAGAGACCCGGCATAGGGTCAGGTGTGGGCTCGGCTTCACTGTTCCATGTAACCTCTCAAGAAGAGACTGGCCCCAGTACCCATCAACACTGTATTCTCTCACTGTGCTGCCTGGAGTTTCTGCTTCCCCACGCCTAGGTGGCCCTGCACCTGCCAGAAACAGTCGCATGCAACACCTGTTTCTGGGCCAGAGCTCAAGGGATGGGCAGTGTCACTTCCTGTTCCTGAGACTCTACAGTACTAGCTGGACTAGTATTTTTGGCCATTTTCTGGTAACCATCTCACTGAAAAATAATTTACATACCTCAGAACCCACCCTTATCAGCATCCAGTGTGTGCTCAGAGCTGGCTAGACCCGGGCTCATCTCCCACCCTGCCACCATAGTCAATGAAGCTGCTTTTGTCTCTTTGACTTGCTAAGCCACGAGGTTAGTCTGTGGACCCATGTAGCGCTGGCCACCAACTGCCACGCTTGCTGTGGCTGTCAACGGTCTGCTGTGTGGGAAGGCCATGTGTGGCCTACCACCCCACTAGCACGTGTGGGTTACTCCCATCCCCCGACTGTGATGTGGGGACGATGGTGTCATGACTTACAAAGTCCTTGTGGTTCCTGTTTTGTTCCCTTGGGCACCTGTCTGGGCTGGCACTGCCAGTTCAAATGTGGCCCTGTGGTCACCGATTTCAGGAACTGGTAGCAGTGTGTTAAGGGTTCCATTTCTCCATCTGTTGCCCTTCACTGTTGACTGACCAAGGAGACCATGTGTTTTAACCTGCAGGCTCTGCCTTGGCACCACTGGGCTTGTCTGTGCTCATCTCTGCTGGTTAGTGTTTGTTGGTGGTGGTCAGCTGGACAAGTGGGGGGGTTACCTGGGATACCGCCTCCACTGAGAACATGCTTCCATCAGATGGCCTGCAGGCAGGTTTATGGGGCATTTTATTGATTAACCCCACTGTGAGCAATGCCACCCCAATCCGGTGCTCCTGGATTGTAGAGAAAGCAGGCAGAGCAAACCACCGAGAGCAAGCCAGCAGGCAGCACTCCTCCATGGTCTCTGCTTCAGTCACTGCCTCCAGGTTCCTGCTCTGACTTCGTTCATGATGGACTATAAACTCTGAGCTGAAATAAACTCTTTCCTCCTTAGGTTTGGCCATGCTGTATGTCATAGCAGCAGAAAGCAAACTAACACACCACTCTAAGGACAGAAGGACATTTCTTCCTTTCTCAGGCTCCAGCTTCCCAGGGCCCTTCAAAGTCTTTAGGTGTCTGCTCCACCACACGGTAACCTGCTTTCTCACTGATTTTGTGCACAAGCCTCAGAGCTGAGTAGCTGCCTCGGCCCCTCGACTCCTGCACCCCTGGAGTTGTATTAGTAACTCTTGTTGTATTAGTAACTGTGAGGCCCAGGGCATCCTGACCACACATGGGGGCTCAGGCCATGTGGGGCCCAGGATGCACAGCTGCCATAGCAGGCAGCACCGGGTTCCAGGAAAAGCCCTAAGCCTGCACCACACAGGAACAGACCATCCAAAGGAAAGTCCTAATGTTCCAACCACTGTAGATAGGATCACCTGCCAGCACACAGCCATCGCTTTTCACCAGGACACCCCTAGACAAATGTCAGCCAATCAGGGGTCCTGAGCCTTAGAAATCCCTCACCCCTACCTCTGTTACTATAAAAACCCAACCCTAACTGAGCTCCAGGCTCTCTGATCACTCCAATATGTTGGACACACGGAGAGTCCGAGTTTGCAAACTTGTGTAAGAATAAAGGCTCTTTGCTTTTACATACAGGACTCGGTCTCCTAGTTGGTTTGGGGGGAACTCTGTGATCTGGGCATTACATTTTAGGGGCTCTCTGGGATCCTCAAGTCTACCAGGACCACGGCCCTGTGGAGCCTTCAGTAAGCCGGTAAGTTTTCTGTGTTCTTGTGTGTACGGCTCTCTCCTCCCTCCCTCCCTCCCTCCCTCCCTCCCTCCCTCCCTCCCTCCCTCCCTCTCTAATAAACAAGGCAATGCAAAGCAGAGCGCTCCCAGGTGGGCCTCGGGAAGGCAGAGAGAAGAACAGGAAGGAGGACACACACAGCAGATCTATGGGCCAGGTCTTAAATAGCCAGTAGGCATGATCTCGAGCAGCCTTGAGGAGAGGGCTAACTCTTGGTGGGCTTTCTGAGGCGAGGGGCTGCTATTTGGCCGGTTTTCTTAGGATGTAGAGTCTGGTGGAGAGAGGGGGATGGAGTTTCCGCCTAATCATCCCAAACTCTTTGGGTATATGGGTACCAGGATCTCAGGTGATGCTTCCATCAGACAGTGAGCTGCTCACTGTAGGTGCATGGAGTCATATTTGGGTCCTCTGAAGAGCAGTGCCCTCTCTTAACTCCTGAGCCACATCTCTCCAGCTCCTTTTTTTTTTAATATTTATTTATTTATTTATTTATTTATTTATTTATTTATTTATTTATTTATTTATTTATTTATTTATTTATTTTGTATACAATATTCTGTCTGTGTGTATGCCTGCAGGCCAGAAGAGGGCACCAGACCTCATTCCAGATGGTTGTGAGCCACCATGTGGTTGCCGGGAATTGAACTCAGGACCTTTGGAAGAGCAGGCAATGCTCCTAACCACTGAGCCATCTCTCCAGCCCCCTCTCCAGCTCCTTTTTAAAGAACTTTTATGCATGCAATTTGGTACTGCTGTCTAGAGGTCTAGAATCTCTTCTTTTCCATAATGGAGAAGATATATGTGTGTGTGTGTATATATACACATATCTTCTGTGGCTACAAGGGGTAAAACCATAGCTGTCTCTGGAGGTGGAAGGAGTACCCCTCTAAGCTCACATCTGGTAAAGGTCTGTTGAGTGCAGTCGTCTCACTTGCCATTAAATTAACTGATTGATTTTACACATCTCTTTCATCTTTTCTTGATCCTCTTTTTAGGAATGACTGGTTTCCCCATTTCTCCAGGACCTTCATGAGGCTTCTGCCCTGGCTCTAGACCATCCCCAGCAGGAAGGCCTCCTCCTTCTTCCCTGGCTCTAGACCATCTTTAGCAGGAAGTCCTCTCCTTCTTCCCTGGCTCTAGACCATCTTTAGCAGGAAGTCCTCTCCTTCTCCCCTGGCTCTAGAACATCCCCAGCAGGAAGTCCTCTTTCGTTTTTCTCATCACACTTGTTGAACTCACTCAAGTACAGCAGCAGGAATATATCCAAAAGTACCCCATATATGCACACATATACAAATATCATGAAAATTATTCCAACCTGGTTTCATCAGAAATCACAGTCATACCCCCAAAGAGGCTTTTCAAATGAATCCATATCATAAATCCACGCCTCACATCATCTCCCACGCTACGGAGGAAGCTCCTTAGGCCGTCACGGGCGGTGGCACTGTGCTCCTCTCGGGCTGCTGTCTGCCTCACCGCCTCCTCAGCCTCTGCCAGCGGCAGCCCTGGTGCGTACGTTTCTTTTTGTGTCTCTTTCTAAATAGGCCCAGAATCTGTGAGAACCTGTAGATGGTCTATGTATACACACAGAAAGATCACAGGTGGGTACCTGGGGAGACGCCTCCAGGACCCTTAGTATTTGGGTCCCAGGACCCCTCTGTATGAGTTGATCTGTCTGGTTTCTGTAGAAAGACACAGAAGATGCTCATGCAAAACAGCTTGAGGCTGTCGTCTTCCTTACAGTTTTGCCTCCAGGCGTCAGGAGGACTGTTTTGTTCTCTGTACTGTTGTGTTTTGTCTTTTGTGCATCCTCTTTCTGACTTATGAGACTGATGTGACTCAAATCACTACTACTTTGACTTTGATGTTGGATCACTTCCAGGACTTTAGAGATAGGGTCGTGAGCATAGGGGTGTATTTTCCTAAAAGGGATGAGACAGACAGCCTCTACCCACCTTAAACATTTCACTGAAAGGAGCC